AGAATTATAATCATAACCAGAACAATGACTAGAATTATAATCATAACCAGAACAATGACTAGAATTATAATCATAACCAGAACAATGACTAGAATTATAATCATAACCAGAACAATGACTAGAATTATAATCATAACCAGAACAATGACTAGAATTATAATCATAACCAGAACAATGACTAGAATTATAATCATAACCAGAACAATGACTAGAATTATAATCATAACCAGAACAATGACTAGAATTATAATCATAACCAGAACAATGACTAGAATTATAATCATAACCAGAACAATGACTAGAATTATAATCATAACCAGAACAATGACTAGAATTATAATCATAACCAGAACAATGACTAGAATTATAATCATAACCAGAACAATGACTAGAATTATAATCATAACCAGAACAATGACTAGAATTATAATCATAACCAGAACAATGACTAGAATTATAATCATAACCAGAACAATGACTAGAATTATAATCATAACCAGAACAATGACTAGAATTATAATCATAACCAGAACAATGACTAGAATTATAATCATAACCAGAACAATGACTAGAATTATAATCATAACCAGAACAATGACTAGAATTATAATCATAACCAGAACAATGACTAGAATTATAATCATAACCAGAACAATGACTAGAATTATAATCATAACCAGAACAATGACTAGAATTATAATCATAACCAGAACAATGACTAGAATTATAATCATAACCAGAACAATGACTAGAATTATAATCATAACCAGAACAATGACTAGAATTATAATCATAACCAGAACAATGACTAGAATTATAATCATAACCAGAACAATGACTAGAATTATAATCATAACCAGAACAATGACTAGAATTATAATCATAACCAGAACAATGACTAGAATTATAATCATAACCAGAACAATGACTAGAATTATAATCATAACCAGAACAATGACTAGAATTATAATCATAACCAGAACAATGACTAGAATTATAATCATAACCAGAACAATGACTAGAATTATAATCATAACCAGAACAATGACTAGAATTATAATCATAACCAGAACAATGACTAGAATTATAATCATAACCAGAACAATGACTAGAATTATAATCATAACCAGAACAATGACTAGAATTATAATCATAACCAGAACAATGACTAGAATTATAATCATAACCAGAACAATGACTAGAATTATAATCATAACCAGAACAATGACTAGAATTATAATCATAACCAGAACAATGACTAGAATTATAATCATAACCAGAACAATGACTAGAATTATAATCATAACCAGAACAATGACTAGAATTATAATCATAACCAGAACAATGACTAGAATTATAATCATAACCAGAACAATGACTAGAATTATAATCATAACCAGAACAATGACTAGAATTATAATCATAACCAGAACAATGACTAGAATTATAATCATAACCAGAACAATGACTAGAATTATAATCATAACCAGAACAATGACTAGAATTATAATCATAACCAGAACAATGACTAGAATTATAATCATAACCAGAACAATGACTAGAATTATAATCATAACCAGAACAATGACTAGAATTATAATCATAACCAGAACAATGACTAGAATTATAATCATAACCAGAACAATGACTAGAATTATAATCATAACCAGAACAATGACTAGAATTATAATCATAACCAGAACAATGACTAGAATTATAATCATAACCAGAACAATGACTAGAATTATAATCATAACCAGAACAATGACTAGAATTATAATCATAACCAGAACAATGACTAGAATTATAATCATAACCAGAACAATGACTAGAATTATAATCATAACCAGAACAATGACTAGAATTATAATCATAACCAGAACAATGACTAGAATTATAATCATAACCAGAACAATGACTAGAATTATAATCATAACCAGAACAATGACTAGAATTATAATCATAACCAGAACAATGACTAGAATTATAATCATAACCAGAACAATGACTAGAATTATAATCATAACCAGAACAATGACTAGAATTATAATCATAACCAGAACAATGACTAGAATTATAATCATAACCAGAACAATGACTAGAATTATAATCATAACCAGAACAATGACTAGAATTATAATCATAACCAGAACAATGACTAGAATTATAATCATAACCAGAACAATGACTAGAATTATAATCATAACCAGAACAATGACTAGAATTATAATCATAACCAGAACAATGACTAGAATTATAATCATAACCAGAACAATGACTAGAATTATAATCATAACCAGAACAATGACTAGAATTATAATCATAACCAGAACAATGACTAGAATTATAATCATAACCAGAACAATGACTAGAATTATAATCATAACCAGAACAATGACTAGAATTATAATCATAACCAGAACAATGACTAGAATTATAATCATAACCAGAACAATGACTAGAATTATAATCATAACCAGAACAATGACTAGAATTATAATCATAACCAGAACAATGACTAGAATTATAATCATAACCAGAACAATGACTAGAATTATAATCATAACCAGAACAATGACTAGAATTATAATCATAACCAGAACAATGACTAGAATTATAATCATAACCAGAACAATGACTAGAATTATAATCATAACCAGAACAATGACTAGAATTATAATCATAACCAGAACAATGACTAGAATTATAATCATAACCAGAACAATGACTAGAATTATAATCATAACCAGAACAATGACTAGAATTATAATCATAACCAGAACAATGACTAGAATTATAATCATAACCAGAACAATGACTAGAATTATAATCATAACCAGAACAATGACTAGAATTATAATCATAACCAGAACAATGACTAGAATTATAATCATAACCAGAACAATGACTAGAATTATAATCATAACCAGAACAATGACTAGAATTATAATCATAACCAGAACAATGACTAGAATTATAATCATAACCAGAACAATGACTAGAATTATAATCATAACCAGAACAATGACTAGAATTATAATCATAACCAGAACAATGACTAGAATTATAATCATAACCAGAACAATGACTAGAATTATAATCATAACCAGAACAATGACTAGAATTATAACCATAACCAGAACAATGACTAGAATTAAAACCATATCCAGAACAATGACTAGAATTATAACCATAACCAGAACAATGACTAGAATTATAATTACAATCAGAACAATGACT